AAAACCGGGTTTGAATTCGAACATCTCAACTCGATCGAGGAGAAAAGGTGGCTGGCAAATGCTGCTGAGACGCTAGCAACAAGCGAAGTGTCTCCTTCTGACCTGCGCAATGCATACTCGAGCATGCTACGTGCCGACGTGTTCGAGAGCTTCATGGCCAAAAAGTTCTCATCTTTCAAAAGATACTCAGGCGAAGGAGCCGAGTCCATGCTACCCGCAGTGGAGACTGTATTGCAAGCGTGTACTACGTCGGGTGTGTCGGACGTAGTGATCGGTATGCCTCATCGTGGACGTCTTGCCCTTCTTGTTGGATCTCTCGAATACCCGGCACACAAAATCTTCCACAAAGTGAAAGGATACTCGGAGTTCCCCGACACTTTCCGTGGCATTGATGACGTATCGTCACATATCGCCACTACCGTAGACAAGAAATACGCCGACAAAAAAGTGCACGTGTCATTAGTGCACAATCCGTCGCATCTGGAGATTATCAATGCTGTTGCAACTGGTAAAGTTCGTGCCAAGAATGATGGTGACTCGAACACCAACGCAATGGCATTGCTACTTCACGGTGACGCAGCATTCGCTGGCCAGGGTTGTGTGCCCGAAGCGTTGGCGCTTTCTCAACTTCCAGACTTCCAGACTGGAGGATCGGTGCATATCGTGGTGAATAACCAGGTGGGGTACACGACCACGTACCCGGACGGTCGTGCGACGCGGTATGCGTCGGATATCGCCAAGAGTATCGAAGCACCGATTCTACACGTAAACGGTGAGAGCATTGCGGACGTGATCCGTGCGTGTCGTCTTGCTGTAGCCTACCGTAACCAGTTCCACAAGGACATTGTCATCGATTTGATCACATTCCGTCGTCACGGACACAACGAAGTGGACGAGCCACGCTTCACACAGCCGAAAATGTACGAGCGAGTGGACCAAGCGGATCGATTCCCCGTGAAATTCGCTCACGAACTGGAGAGTGTTGGTCTTGTGTCACGTACGAGTTTTGAGAAGACTATCGAGCGTCTGAATGAGCATCTGGAGAGCGAATTGAAGATGGTTACGGGAGAACCAGGCTATAGACCCACAGAGATCGACGCGTTTAAGGGCAAGTGGGCGACGATGATGCAACCAGAACCTGAAGATCTGTACGTCAACATGGATACTGGTGTGGAGATCGACAACTTGATCCAAGTCGGACTGGCTTCTGTGGAGCTGCCTGAGAGGATCCAGCCACATGGTCGTCTACAGCGTACGCACATCAAGTCACGACAGAAAATGCTGCAAGTGAAGGACGGAGAAACCCCCGGAGACTTGCGTGTTGACTGGGCTACAGCTGAAGCCATGGCGTTCGGAACTTTGATGCAAGACGGTCACTCGGTGCGTCTTGCTGGACAAGACTGTCGACGTGGCACGTTTAGTCAAAGACACGCCTCGTTCACAGACCAGAAGACAGAAGAGCGATACTTCCCACTGCAACATCATTTGCCTAAGACATCGGAGACTGTTGGGAAGCTCAGTGTGATCAACAGCAATCTGTCCGAGCTGGCCGTCATGGGCTACGAGTACGGCTACAGTGTGGAGAGTCCCGAGAATTTGGTCATCTGGGAGGCGCAGTTCGGCGACTTTTTCAACGGCGCTCAGATCGTGATCGACCAGTTCTTGTCAAGTGCAGAGTCCAAGTGGATGCGTCAATCCGGTCTCATGTTGTTGCTGCCTCACGGCAACGATGGAGCCGGCCCAGATCACTCCAGTGGCCGCGTGGAGCGCTTCTTGCAGCTTGTGGACACTCCTGCGTTGACGCCACGCTCATCTGTCAAAGAATCCAAGACGGAACCGGTATGGAAACAGTACCAACACGACACCAACATGATCGTCGTGAACGTGACTACGCCGGCCAATTTCTTCCACCTGCTGCGTCGTCAGCAGCATCGCTCGTTCCGTAAACCTGTGATCATTATGGGGCCCAAGATGCTGCTACGTCTTGCTGATGCCACCTCGCCGCTGTCCGAGATGGGGCCACACACAGCCTTCCAGCCAGTTCTCTCGGACCCGACGATCACGGACGCGTCGCAGGTCAAGAAGGTGTACTTCTGCTCCGGTAAATTCTACTACGAACTGGCCAAGGAGCGACTTGCACGTTGCAAGAATCCCGACACCATCGCACTCGTTCGTGTGGAAGAACTGGCGCCGTTCCCGTTCGAGCAAGTGGCTGGAGAACTCGCCAAGTTCGACAATGCCAAGAAGTTCGTATGGGTGCAGGAAGAACCGCTGAATCAAGGAGCATGGACGTACGCTCAAGCGCACATTGAGAAGCTGCTGGGCAAGAAACAGCACCTGGAGTTCATTGGACGTGATAGCCTCGCTGCCCCCGCTGTCGGCTTGTCCAAGCGCTCACATGAACAACTGGAGGTGGTGCTGACTGAAGCGTTCGGCCCACAGAAGTAATCGACAGTAGCGCTAGGACAGTAGACTGATACATGTACGGCGCGCTAATAGACGTTCAATTGCCACTCGATACAGCACGCTAAACGCCAGCCAGTGCAATAAAAACACGAGCGCTTGGGTATATAAAGAAGTTACTTACGCAAATGAAGGTTGGTGCGTTGTGCGGAGGTCGCTACGGCTCGCTGTAGACGATGGCGGAGGCGTAGCTCACAGAAGAGTCACCGTGACGCATGCAAGCGCTGCTCTGAGCGTATTTGACGAACTTGAGCGTGCACTTGAGCTTCTTTGACGCCAAGATGGTGTTCAACAACAGAGAGATCGGATGGCGACCGCAAATTGTGTTGTTTGTTTTGTCCAGGTATCTCGTGAAGCCCGCCGCATCCAAGCGCTCAATGAACTGCGTTCAAGGAGCAGACAGCAAACGTCAGTTGTTAGCGACACCGATTCCTAGTAGAAGGCAAAGCTTTGTACGTACCCCCATGCCTTGGTGGTCTAAATATTTGATGTATTCGTGGATCTCGCCGTAAGTCGAGTCGTGTGGCTGGTAGCGGAATCTGAGCAATATACGAGGAGAACGTTAGTCTGCTATCCAATACTGCGCTGGTTATGAAGGCGTTACTCCCTTACCGAGGTCCCCAGTGGCAGAAATCGGAGCTGATCACAAACAAATTCTCGTCGTTCTCCAGATACGGGGCCAAAATCCTAAGACACGAGATAAAATATGTTGTTATAAGCCCTCAATGCTGCAAAAAAATAGTTTCAGCTTTTTAGTGGCCATACTTTCCGTATTCCTCGTCCGTTTTGGACTTGGTGTTACCGACCAAGATCGGGACCGCCGTAAACTTGCGGCCATTCATCACCTATAACACAATACGCTAAATTATTTGTAAAAATAACAAAATTAATGAGTTTAAGGAATCCTACCTTGAAGATGAAAGGAAGATGCATCTCGATACTGTGCTCGTCCTCGTCAACATCCATCGACATAGTCGCAAACTTACCCTGCAGCATCCAATAGTACCGTCAGACGAACCTTAAATTACTATTTTTTTCACTTTCTCCACCTACCGAGTCCACGAGCTTCTCGTTCACTTCGTGGTCGATCGAAATGTTGCCCAACGGCGTCTCGTACTCGTGTGCAGTCGACACAGCACATCCACTAACAGCCAATCAGCACTGTTGCCTCCCACTTTTAGCAGCTTAAATGGATGTACCCACCGCAAGTAGAAGTGGTGCGATGGCCCGAGAATGAAGACGCGCTTGATTCGGTCCAAGTTGAGCACTTGGTGGTACGCGTACGCCGCTGTGGGGCCCGAGTATCTACAGCGCAACAGCACACTCCGTTCAGTCCAGAGGCTCGTCGCTGTAAGTGTACACAAGTCACAGCCGCACCGGAAACCTGCATGCGGGGCAATAATGGCGCGGATACTCGGCTGTTTCTCCTGCGTGTCGTTGCCCTCCGCGGCACCCAGCCAACCTGCAACACAAGCCTCCCCGGCACAAGTGAGCACTGGGCCCTTTCTATGCTTTAACGGTGTCATCGCACACCTGACAGCTCTTCCTCAAGCTTGTGCTCGTCGTGCGAGTACCAGGAGCCCGCGTGGGTGGCCAATCGCACGCGTACAGGACTTGGCTCGGGCTTCTTGGACATGGCCTCGTGGGTTGAAATCTTATCGAGGTCCGAGCGGTGAGGCTTCTTCCGAAATGATGCGCAGTTGAAGCTGTCGCATGGACTTTTTTGGGACTTTTTTACTTATACCGATGCAATACCGCCCGGGCATCGGTTTTTGATACGGATAGTTGAAGTTGAAATTTTTTGGGGCAACAATTCTCACAAGTGGCAGCAATTCTCACAAGGTGAAGTGGCGAAAGGTGCTAGTGGTGCATCTGCTTGCTGTTGTAAATTGCGAATCCTAGCAAGTAAAGTACCGGTACTTGTCACAATAAGCTCAGTTTTGCTGCGAACTAAGCAGCTGTTGAAGAACGCTAACAGAAGGACTCGAATGAAATATTACAGCATTTGCTGGTATGTGCGTAAGCACCGTATGGAGTCTATGTAAGTGGTTATCATACAGTACAACGTGAAGTGCACGTAGCGTACTCCCATACAAGATTGCAAGATCTCGTGAGCACTGTGGCAACTGGCCAAATCTGATAAAACGGGATTCATGCGGGCTCGTGTTCACTGCTATTGAAAAGCAGTGCACACACTAAATATAGCGCATAATTTCCGATTTCATGCCAAACAAATGGTGCGGGGGACGCATTCCAGACGACAGGACCAGGTGCTTAAGCACAATCCGGCATTACCTCACACCTTCACTTTGAAATGCACCACGAATGTTACGCAGCTTTGCCTAAAATCGAGATCCCCTATTTCCCATGTTTCGATACGTATACAGAAGTCTCAATTGGCCGAAGCATACGACAATGGCTGGTCTTATCATCATCAAACGAACGGGTGGAGCTGTAATGGTGCACGCGAACGGAACGGCTGCTGTTCGGTGGATGGTGAATGCTGAAGCTTCCCAACCACCTTTCAGACATCACTCTTGTATTTTGGTCTTGACAGCCAAACCCACTGCCCCACAGCAGTACACTCACACACGAGCGAATTTTTAACGACACAGTCGTCACCACTATTACCGCAAACAACGTCCTAACTGTATCAACAACACTAAGACCGATTCACGATGAGAAACCACCACCGCTACAAACACGCTGAAACCGAGAAGGACCAGGTCTTGGCACTTAACAACTACGCCGAAGGCTTCTTGGTGAAGCAGGGTGCGCGCGTCAAAAACTGGAAGCGCCGCTATTTCGTATTCCGCGACGGCTACCTGTCGTACCGTAAGGACCAGCGCGAGACTTCCAAAGTGTTGGGCACAGACGTCGTGCTCGACGTGTTCTATTGGTCTGGTGCGGAATTTGGTTTGTCCATCAAGCTCAGCAGTGGCCGCTTGCTGTACATATCACCCGCGTCCGAGCAACAAGCTTGCGTTTGGTACGAGGTGGTGCAAGGCTACGTTATGCGCCAGCAATTGACCCGCCAGCTTCAGCACGTAAACCGGCAACGTCAAAAACACCTCGAGCCCATTTGGGAAACCGAAAACGCCGCAGAGCAGAGCGCCGAGCGCAGTCAGTACAACCTCTTGCGGTAGATGAACTCCACAAACAATTCGAGTCCCGCGCAAATTGCCCATCAAGCGCCCACCAATACGGAATTGCTCCCGTACTCTCGAGCGAACTTGAAGCCATCGGAAAGCTTCAACAAAGAAAAGCGATTGCCTCGAAGAAATAAATTTTAATCAGCACACCAGAGATAAGGATATACCCGAGGCCTGCTTTTACTGTAAAACATGCATACATGTACAAAAGTATCACTGGTCTCACAATGGGTTTACGCAAGTACAGTACGTGACCGGTATCGTAATTCCAGTTAATTAACTCCGTTCGCGCACTCTAGTTTGCCTCCTTCGTCTTCTCCACAGCAGATTTCTCCTTCCGTATCGTTTTACAGCTGGTCTTGTGGTTGGTCCAGTCTTCTACCTGATGTTCCTTGCAGCAGTAGAACGGGCTTCGCATGCACATTGCAGCAAGGTCGTTGCACCCTCCGCGCCTCCCTTGCTTCTCGTGGCCAAACCGCAATATCTACAGCCCACTTCGGCAGCACTAACCTCCCCAACCATTACCTGCTTCAAAAACATGGTCTCAAATGTGTGCGCCACGTTAGTGAGCATCGTGAGGATAACCTGCTGCCGCATCTGCAGTGCGAGCCACACGTCGGCCTCCATGAGTTTCCCCTGCTTAATCAGGTTCTTCTTCTCTTCAATAATCTCGGGCGACGCTGAAGGTAGCAGCGACTGCACGTTCTGTTCTGGGTCCGCCAGGTCAATGAAGGCCAGAGAAACGTGCTTGAACGTCTCACCGGAGAACGTGGGCATAGTGCCAGAAGCTCGAAGTGACGCGAGGTAGAGAAGATCGTGACGACTACACTGGTCAGCCTTAGTGGCACGTGCATTCATGAGGCGCAGCAGAACCTTTCCGTTCTCTTCCAGTAGCGCCTTAAGTGTCAGCTCGGGCGTGAGCAGCTGTGTGGCCTGCGGACGCGGCTCCTTGGGGTCATACGATAAAGGAATATCGGGCGATGCGTTGCGAAGCAGCGACACTTGACCGGCGTACGGCAACGCCAAGAACCAGCGCATGAAGGCGGACGCATTGGCACGCCAAAAGCGGGTCAGATACTTGGAGGGCGACTCCTCTGGCGCAGTGGCCGCGGGCGCGCCTGAGTCGGCAGCTCCAGCCATTTGGACTTAACACTTTTTTCTACTACTGTACTGTATTAAAACTTAATCCTTTCAAATAGCATACAAAAGCCATTTGTTTTAACATGAAGGAGAAACAAACGCAAAATAGAGGTCGGACCTCACATTTTTATATATGTACTATTCTAAAGGAATTAAAATACAGAACTTCTTTCCACAGTGCGAAAATCCGACCCGTCTGTTTCTGGCTAAATCAGTTCATTTTGAACACCGACTCCGAAGCGAACCGGAGGTCAATGACTGTTGGGTAAGAGCCTACCAATGGGCCCCAAGGACCTTTTCGCAAGTGTCGAGTCGACAATGTTAAAGGTACGATAATTTGACTTGGTTACACTATTGGGACCAATCACATCGAGTGTAGGCGCGTGTCTTTTCAGGTTATTGTGTATTGTGCATGTAGAATCCAACTAAAACCTCCTTTGAATTTATTTCTCACTTTTACTTCTACCTTCTGCCGAGCAAGTGCCCAACCAACAGGATTTGAGCCCAATGGTCAAAAACTCAGATGCAGACGCTGCTACGGAGGCAGTCCTGCCTCCCCCGCCGCCCACGAAAGGGGCGAAGAGCAGAAGGTCACGCAGATCGCTGGAGCGCTCGCAGCTCTCATCACCAAGCTCACAGCCAAAGTGCCGAAGTAACAGCTCAACAGACGCCGCAGCAGCAACAACCGGCTGCGCAGAACCAAGCACATCGGCCTTCGCTGCTGCACCTCAACGAGAGAGTGCCACCTGCCAAGGATGCCAAGATCTTCATGCGAAACTTCGACGGCAGCGAGGTCTACATGGGACTTGGTAGCGGCTTCGAGCAGTGGGCGCTGCTGTTCATTGAGCAGATCAAGATGGCGGAGCAGGCGTGTGGCTACGCCTGGCCTGAGCGCTACAAGGTGATCAGGTTCGGCCAGCATCTACGTGGTAAAACGGAGCTCTTCTTCCAAGCAGCACATCATGCGCTGGTGGGCCACGCAGCCGATGCTCTGATTTGTGGTGGAGCAGATGCACTTGTCGCTCAAGCGGGTGCTCTCGAGGCAGCAAGGAATGAAGCTCTTCGGCGCGAAAAAGGACCCGTCGCGATCGTGGAATGAGCACTTCTCGTACTTGAATGCTCTCATGATGGCAACAAACGCGTCACCAACGCTAGTGCTGGAGAGCATCGTCAAGTACGCTGACCCAGACTTGAGGCACGCCTTGATGGTTAAGTTTGACATCACGCGGCCGGATCCTCTCCAACAAGCGAGCGAACTGGCCGTTTGATGACCGATGAGGATCGAGCGCCAAAGTACCTTGGTAAGGAAGTCGTGAACGCAGTGGCTGAGTCCCAAGAAGAAACAAGGCGATGCCAGAACTGCAAGAAAGTTGGACACCTGAAGAAGAACTGCCTGGATCGTTCCGCTGGGAGCAGCAAGAACAAGCCAGTAAAGGTCGCACTTGCTGCCGTTCAAGTCCGTGGACGCTACGAGCTGAACTCTGGACAGCGGCGTCAGCCGACATCTTGCCAATGATTCTGCGCTACTGGCTAACGTAGTGCAGTGCTCTGGTGAGGACACATGCATGTTACCGGATAATCGAACGATGGACGTAGCCAAGAAAGGATCGGTGGATTTTCGAGCTATTGTCGACGGAGTCGCGGCTGAGGTGGAGATTAGTGAAGTCTACTACGTGCCGAAACTCGCGCGGAATCTGATCTCATATGGACGGCTGATAGCGAAGGGATGCTCTCTCACCAAGCGCAACGGAAAGTTGGCGTTGATGAAAAACAACGAAGTGGTATTCTTTGTCGACGTGAATCACCACGTGCCTGTGGCTTAACTTGAATCGGTAGCTACAAACAATGCGGAGATGGACCACGTGGTGGACACGAGTACAGACACAGCCTCGCCGGTCGTCGCCACGGACACGATGATGGGCTTCCATGCATGTCTCGGTCACTTGGCATTGGACACTATTGGACGTATGGCAAATGACCCCGCATCCGGTATCAAGATATCGAATCGTGACCGCAAGCCTTGTATGGTTTGTGCTGAGGGTAAACAGACTCGAGCGAGCCAGCCGACTAAAGATACCGGAGATCACGCCGATCAATAAAGTCGAAGGAGTTATCGGCAGTGACCTCAAGGGTCCCATGACGCCACTTAACCGCCAAGGTAGCCGCTACATGGTTAACTTCGTGGACCACAAGTCGAACTACTGCAACGTGTTCATGGCAAAGAAGAAGAACCTGGGTGCAAAAAAGTTTGAGGACTTTCTTGTCAAGTTCGAAAAACGGCTCGACGTTCGTGTGCATGTTCTCCGCACGGACGGTGGAGGAGAGTACCGAAACGTGGATCGCTTCTGCAAAGCAAACGGAGAGGCTCGTCAGGTGTCAGAAGTCGAGAATCAAGCTGCAAACGGTAAGGAGGAGCGGGTGCATCGCACGGCTCTCAACATGGCTCAGTGCATGGTGTTCGGTGCAGGATTACCGCTGAGCTTCTGGGGTGACGCGGCTTAATACGCGACGTACGTGCTGAATCGGAGCTCGTCACGCCCTAACGAGGATCGTAAGTCGCCGCTCGAAGTGCTGACTGGCGAAGTACCAAACCTTCGCGACATTGTCATGCTTGAATCAAAGTGCTCCGTGTTTCGTGACCCTGGAAACCGCGCCATGAAGAAGAGAACGTGTGAGGGCGTCGTCGTCGGCAAGGACGAATCGACCAAGGGGTACAAGATGTATCTGCCTTCGGAGAACAAGGTGATCGTCACGAGGCATGTGCAGGACATCCGCGCGTTGGATGAGAACTCAGATGTGAAGACACCGACTGCTCTAGCTCCCACGACGACGACACCACCGGCACCACGCTCCACAATACGAAGATTCCGTCGCTCACGCCGCAAGTCGCGCCGCCGTGCTGAAGCTGATGGAGACGTGGAGGTTGACGAGTCGAGGCTGAACACTGAGCCTGTAACTTTGACCGTATCCGAAATTGAGGATGTTAATTTTTACACTGATGACCCGGACCCGAAGAGCTACAGACAGGCGCGGAGAGCGCGCCTTGGGCTGCAGCTGATAAGGAAGAGCTTGAAGCTCTACAGGCGAATAACACGTGAAAGCTGGCCAAGTTCGAGCCCGGCAGCGTTCGCTTGCATACCAAGCGGGTGTATAAGAAGAAGCGAACAGGCACGGGTTTGATCGAGCGGTACAAGACTCGATTAGTTGCCTGTGGCAACGAGCAAAAGCTCGGCGCTAACTTCTTTCTCGTGTTTGCTGCTGTAATTTCCTGACTGGTGTCAAGTTCATCTTCGTCATTGCGATCATATGGAAGGTGCCTGTCAGACATGGCGACGTTCCAAACGCGTATGTGAAGGCGAAAACGGAGGAGGGTATATAAATTGTGCTGCTCGTCCCCGACGGACTCGTTATCACGGAGGAAGAGCTAAAACCTCTCGGAGCTGAGAGCGTGGATGAAGTTGGTCTACTTCTTGGTCAGAGCCTTTACGGTCTGAAACAAGCAGGACGCCTTTGATATGAGCACCTTCATCGCGAACTGGTCAAGCTTGGGTTCATCCAGTGCATTACGGACGCTAGTCTGTACTTCAAGACTGTCAGCGACGGAATGGTGGTCGTCGGAACGTACGTGGATTACCTGCTGGTTACTGGCACGGACGAGAACAGGGTTTCCCAGTTCTTTGTTGACATGTCCGTCCTGGAGCTCAAGGATCTCGGTGCTGCCAGCCATTTTACTTGGAACGCGTGCAGTACGACGAGCTCAGTGGTTACAGGTTTGACCAAGAGGCCGCAATCGTCGAGATGCTCACCAAGTTTGGATTGGACAAAGCAAATTCGGTGCGATCGCCGATCGGAGGAGAAGACGCGGCAGAGTCAGATTTAGCAGAACTACTTCCACACGCGGCTAAGGATATCGCGTCAGCAGGGCCGACGGTGACAAATTTCCAGTCACAGGTGGGGAGTTGCTGTGGATTGCGAGATGCACGCGTCCAGACATTATGCTCGCTGTACACTGTGCAACGCGACGGACTCATGCACCAACGATGGCGGATTGGAAGCTGGATAAACGCATCGCCAGGTACCAGAGTGGCACCCGATCGCACAAGATGGATATGTCTGGCGACGACAATGCTAAAAGGCTACCACTACGATTGCGCTCGTATACGGACGCCGACTTTGCTGCCGACAAGAGCGACCGCAAGTCTGTGAGCGCGGCAATCATCCAAGTAAACGGAATGACGGTGTCATGGCAGTGCAAGAAGCAGAGTTTCGTGGCACTATCGACGACCGAGGCGGAGTACATCGCTGCGGAGGTGGGTGCTCAAGAGCTACTCGGGATGATGGAGCTATTGGGTGAGCTGGATATCGCCACCGAGCTACATCTGGCCATGCTGATGGATAACCAAGCGGCTATCGTGCAAGTGCAGAGCAAAACGAGCTCGGCCAAGGCGAAGCACGTGGACGTCAAGCTTAAGTTTATTCAAGATGGCGTCGTGGTGCCAGAGTATGTGGCTAGCGCGGAAATGCTTGCCGACCTGCTGACGAAGGTGCTGCCGGCGCCACGGGTGAAGGAGCTACGAGAGAAGATCGGACTCGTCGACATCGAGTAATTCAGGAACCTCGATGCTCTGGGGAGGAGTATTGGACATTGATGTAAGAGCCAGCCAAAATGGCAGGCGACCGAAAGCCAGACCCCCAAGGGCCTTTACGAAAGTTTCGAGTCGACAATGTTGAAGGTACGATAATTTGACTTGTTTACACTATTGGGACCAATCAGATCGAGTGTAGGCGCGTGTCTTTTCAGGCTATTGTGTATTGTGCATGTAGAATCCAACTAAAACCTCCTTTGAATTCTTTTCTCACTTTTACTTCTACCTTCTGCTGAGCCCCAGTCAAAATAGGGTAAGCGAAGCAGCAGCGATATCTACTGAGATAAGATGTTCATTCTCGTTTAAGTACGAATCGCACAGATTTTCGCACTGTCGCACCAGTGGGAGAAGCAAAGTGCGAACTGTTCAACAATTAAAAAAAATGTTGGAGTGTGGTGAGGCTCATAGCGTCGCTACTAAATTCGGAGAGCACGCGCCTCGCCACTGATGAAAGTCCAGAATTGCCGCGGCCATCGGCAGTGCCAGCGGCGCTGGCTCTACAAAAAAACAATTCTCAGCTCGGTGGGGCATTTGTACGGTTTGCCCCATCGAAAAAGCCCTGCCATGTGGCGTGATCATCTCTGGCAAATGCATCCATCCACTCACTGGCAGTGCTACTGACACTGCATCCAGATTAATTCCATGGCGGCTAAACGACTTAAGATAACTCCTCGCTGGCATAAAACTGTCTGTACTGTTAATATATTATAACACCTTCACCATGGCGACAGGCCGATTCACCTTGTGGCTGCGTCATATTGGAAATAATAATTAACTCGGCGCAGACGAGCGCTCGCCACCGTGTGGAGCAGGGCGAAAATCCATCCCCTACAACGACGCTTTCGCAACCCCAAAGCAGCCTGCTTTCCACGAAGATTGCAGCTTGTAATCTAGCATTCGGCAATGCGCTTTTAAATACCAATAAACACCTGCCCGGTACTGTAGTAGTCGCACAGCGGAGCCATCACGAGCGGATCTGGTCGCGTCTGGTGCCGAACTTTGGGCTTTTCGTTGTAAGTCGAGCGTGTATTGGTTGAAATTGTGAGGTGTAGGGTAAAATCGTTGTCTGATTGTGTTGCACACTTCCAAGGGTAGGTTTTTGCCTATCCCTGCTGGCTTACTGCTCGAGTCAAATCGTAGCGCGTCCCCAGTGCGGCGTTGAGCTTCCCTTCACGTTAGAACGAACGTGCTCTCTGTGTGCCTTCGCGAGTGACTTGCGGACGTCGACAGGTAGGCTCTGAATCCCCTTGCGCCGGGTCCTTAAACGCGCCAACCTCCGTCTCCTGACGCCGACCAGGACGTTCTGAGGGACCTGCCCCACCTTCGTCGACAGCCATGGAAGTCGGTGCCCCCGTGTGGGTCTTCGACCGTGAATTGTGGCACGAGGCGGTCGTTGCCGCTCCCGTAGACGCGTCTTCGGGTCTCGTGGAATGCGCTATCGAACCAGAGCCTAATGACGAGCATCTTGTGACCCCCGAGGGAGACGACGTCGTCCCCGACGCGCAGGACTTCCAGACGCCGCGTAAACGTCGTAATTCGCGACGTAACTCGATGCGACGGACAGTTTCCATTCAAACAGAGCTCGTACTACCGCGTAACCAGGGAGAACACTACCACACCGTACAGGACTTGACCAAACTCGTACATCTACACGAA